CTTTTGCTTTTTGTGCTTTGGTTGCCATAGTTAAGAAACCACTGCCTAAACCAATTTAAAAGATCACTTCTATGTTTTCTTGTGGTTTCTCTCTTACATTAGGCCTCTGATTTAGTTTGAATTAACTTTTATATACAACATGAGGTAGGAGTCCAGCTGTGCTCTTTTACATGTAGATATTCAGTTGACTCAACCTGAGGGCGTGGTGGCGCCCGCCCTATGGCAGTTGACTCAAGATGTATTTATACTTTTCTGAAGTCCTTGCTTGCTAATTCTACCTCTAAGTCATCTGTGGATCTATTGACCAATTTTTCTCATAACCATGGGTTATACTTTTCTATTCCTTTATATATATATATAGTGGACAGCCACGCCGCAGTCCCTTCTCCTTCATTCTCCTCTTGGGATCTTGGGCATGCATGTATATGCACCTGGCATGAGTTTTAAGCTGCCGGGTTCAGGACTCAAACCATGGTCAACTACATGAAAGTCCAGCGACGTAACCATTACGCCATCTGTTGGTCCCCCTTTACATGTTTTTTAAAGTTATTTGTTTATTCCATGAGCAGGTAAGTGTGTGTGTGTGTGTGTGTGTGAGAGAGAGAGAGAGAGACAGAGACAGAGACAGAGTCAGAGAGCGAGAGCACACAACCCCAGCAGGGTCCAATGCTACCATCCCCCCCAGCTTCAGTCAGCCTGGGATCACAGGCGTGTGGATACCAGTGTATTCAGGAAGGTCTCCTGACACAAACCCTGAACCTTCCCGTGTGGGTCATTTTACAACGCATCGCTTTTGACTGGTGCACATGGTTAACTTCTCCTTATATTCTGGACTTCATGCGTGGCACACTGTGGAAACTCTAGCTGTCCATTGCCCTCGTGTGTAGAGTGTCAAGCCCGACATCGCCTTGACCTGGTGGGAGCAAGGGCTCACGTTTTGTCAGGGCAGGTGTACGTCAGTTCTGCCCCTAGTCCTGGAGCTGACCTGACCTCTTAGTACTGGGATGTCATTTTTTCTCTGAAGGTGTGATCCTTCGGGTATTTTACTGGAAATTCTAGAATGTTTATCAGTTTCTTCTAACTTGGTAGAACTTGAACTCCAAACTCTGTTTCTCCAACTCTTTCAGCTTTCCAGATTTTGCTTTTTGTTTCTTCTTCTTTCTTTCTGTTTTGTTTTTATAAAAAAAAAAATGAGTATTTGCAATTCAGGGGCAAGCCAAAGATTTGGAGGGAATATACATGTAGCTTTTTGGGGCCTGTCTCTTTAAAGCGTCCCTCGCTCTGGGATTTTTCCTTCTTTACTTCTGGCATCTCAAACTCCATTCTCGAGTTTCTCGGGCAAGTTAAGACTGTGGGTTTCTGCTTGAGGTCTGTCTGCCCATGATGCAGACTGGTGGTTGTCCTTAGCCATGTTACTGAGCTCTCACTGATGCAGTTCCTTTATTCCAAGCGTTGAAAGCCCTGCCAGGATCTGCCTGTTCTTTTTTTTAGGGGGGGGGGAGGGGGCTTGTTTGTTTGTTTGTTTGTTTTGAGAGGTTTTTGCTATAGGGCGCATGTGTTCGCCAGAAAGACAGAGAGAGACAGAGAGACAGAGAGACAGAAAGTGAGAAATCACCCCCCAGGGGGGATGGCCA